CTTCAATATAAAACATAGTCATCACAATAAAATCTTTTCAACAGAATAAATGAAAAAGAAGAAATTACAGTTTCGCTCATTTTTTTGTATTTACATGTCTGATAATCTTTGAATCTGTAGAAAAATGTAAATAGTTTTCATAATTATTTACAAATACTGTACATAGGCCATAGTCTTTTAATAATATAATTTTGTGAAGTGTAAAAAAATGGAGATAAATAAAATGTGTTCTATATATGTATATTACAATTTTTATTTTATATATTTATGTGAAAATTTGTCGTAATTCTGACGTTCTAATTCTTGGTCATCAATAAAAGAATTAAATAATTTAATTAAATTTTTATATTAATAATTTTGTCAATTTGACCGCTGTCATTTTGTCTATTTTTTTGTCTAAATATGAAGACAAAGTTTTGATGGAAACACTGAATAATATTAAATAAATCTAATTTTTTTATATTTTAAAAGATCTTAAAAGTCTTTTGAAGTCTTATAAAAAATCTTAAAAGTTTTTAAAATTTTGAAATCTTCAAATCTTTCATTCAAAGTCTAATGATTTTAGCATTTTAATTTAATTTTTATATGATATTTATACTCCGAAATATAAATCGTGATGAGAGAACTCTCACACTGAAACGATTTCTCGTTTCTTCTTATCGCTCATCGTCTTTATATTCGACCTTGATTTCCTCGTACGTAGCGATGCGGCGTAGTGCTGCCATCAGTGAGCAATGCACGTGGCCGACTGTAGCGTGCATTCAAACTTGAGAAAGGCGTGGGGAGACGCATCGTGGGTGGTCCATCGTGGTGCGCCGACCGGGAACGCGACGCGTTGTGTGGTCCGGCTGGTTCGAGTGCGGCTGTCGCGTAGAAGATGCTAAACGCTTCGTACGATCGAGACGCAGACTTTACCTCATGGTTAAACGGGATCAATCCGTGAACCCGACCGCACGAAGGTACATGTCTCTTGTTTATACTGCGCGTTTATTCTCACATGACACTCTATGTGTGTTTCGTGATTAATTAATCACTATTCAATTTGATATTTCCCCGTGAAAGAGGCGTCACGTTTTTATAAAGGGGAAAAGATGAAGTTTTTTTTGTGTCTCTTCTCAAAAATGAGGGAAAAGGACTGCTTCTGCTTTTGTTTACATTACAGTTACTTTCTTAAATCTTCCTGAATGTGAAAAATTGATTTTTTACTCGCAGATGATATTTTTGCTGCTCCTCTGTTGTCTGCTATTCTGCAACGGTTTGCCTTTGGAACTGGAGCATGGATTTGCAACTAACGATGATGGCGAAAATAGTATGTGGAAGGATATGGGTCGGCATCAAAGAATCAAAGATCCCAATTACCGATTAGATAGATATCCTATAGGTGAATTGTCACCGGATATCTCGGCCTGTCGTAGACCTGCTAAATGTGTTCAGCTATCTAAAAGTACTTGTATGGGTACAAAATTACCTTATACTTTTACCACATTGGACCTCATACCAGAACATGTAACTCAAGACATTGTTGAGGTAGATAAGATTACTATTAATTTTTTGTATTAATAATGTTTTTACTTTTTTTTTCTTATGATAAAGCATAAAAACTTTATAAAAATGCATGCAAGTTAGAAACTTAGCATTGCAAATCTTTCTAAGAAATAACAATTATTTTGCATCTATATAAACAAGAGCATTAAAGTCTCAAGATTTGTATTTAAGATGGTCTCAGATAATTCTTCAGTTCTTCTCTTACTATGCATTGGCTTATCTTTCTATAATGATAACAACATTAATAAGTTAAGAATAATAAGAATAATATATTTTGTTATTTGAATATATTTTTATTTTAGCTTTTAATATGTTTCTCTTAAGTTGTTTATTATATAATATATTATGTTGATTTTTCTATAATGAGAATACATTACATTTGTCACATACATCTTTTTACTTTCAGGAAAGATTGTACTTGTTGCAAGCTTTGAAGCATGTGCCAAAATGTTGGGCAGTCGTTCAGCCATTTTTGTGCTCAATATTTATGCCGAAATGCATTAATGACACAGTCGAATTACCATCTCAAGAGATGTGCAAGATGGTATCAGGACCTTGCAGGATGCTTATGAATCATACAATATGGCCGAGTTTCGCAAAGTGTGATAATAAGGAATTATTTCCACGATTATGTCAGAATGACATTAGGGAATTGAAATTTAATATCTCGGGCAAATGTTTGAAACCTCTTGTACCTACTGATAATGCTCTTTCCATTTTTGACGGTGTTGAAGGCTGTGGGACACAATGTTATGACCCTTTATACACATCAGATGAACATAATCAGATACATTCATTTATTATATGGGCTGCAAGTATTTGCTGCACTTTTAATTTATTCACTGTTGTAAGCATACAATGCATAAAAACATTGATTGATTGAAAAACATGAATATTATATGCTAATTATATAATTTATATTCACACGTTCCAGCTAACATTTGTCATAGATTGGAGAAGTGCAAATAAGTATCCAGCTTTGGTAATATTTTATATTAATGGTTGTTTTATGGTATCTTGCATTGGATGGCTAATTCAATTCACTCCTGGCAGTAGGGATGTAGTTATATGTCACAAAGATGGAACATTAAGAACAAGAGAACCGAGGTATGTTTCACGAATATATATCATAATGAAATTTGCCATAATGATGTCGACTTAATTTTATAAAATATTTACTTTTAGCGGGGAGAATCTGTCGTGTGTTATTGTTTTCGTTCTTGTATACTATTCTTTAATGGCAGCTGCAGTATGGTTCGTTATATTGACGTACGCTTGGCACATGAGTTTTCGAGCACTTGGCACGATACAAGATCGAATAGACAAAAAGAGTGCTTACTTTCATCTAATTGCTTGGTGCATACCACTCGTTTTGACGGTCGCAATCATGGCGCTAGGCCGAATTGATGGTAACAGCATGACAGGAATTTGCTTCGTTGGTTACGCCGATCATATGGCGAAGATTTTTGTGCTAGGTCCCGTATTACTCGCAGTGCTAATAGGAGGATATTTTCTATGCAGAGGTAGATATTATTTCTTATCATTTGTATATTTATGCCGATAATAATATTAAATTTTTACACATTTTTAATGCTTTCTGTATTAATCTAAATTGTGAGTATTAATGCATTATTGTTTAATGTATTGAACAATTATTCTTGCATCTATAATATTGTATGTATTTTAGGACTCTACACGCTTATTTGTTTAAAAATAAGCAGTCAGGAGATCATATCCGAAAGAGCAAGTTCAAAGATAAAACAGACAATTGTCAGAATGGGACTCTTTTCTATAGGTACTCTTGCAGCTGTTGTTATTACATTCTACTGTCATATTTACGAAATTCAAAACTCGCAACAATGGCAACAAAGCTTCAGAAGTTACATGATGTAAGGGAATTTCAATATAATTATAAATATAGCCCATATATACAGGGTGAATCTTAATGGATGTTCTAATGTTTCAACATGAAAGATATATAATATTTCATTCTCTCTTACGCGTAGATTCTAATTACAGTCAGTAATTTCCCACAGTAAATTGTTGGGATATCCGTTAAGATATCCCAACTTCACTCTATTTATAAAAATACATATTTTATAATATTAAATTTCTTATGAATATATTTGATTATTAAACACATATTTATCATATAATACTGTATTTAAATATAATGTAAATATAATGTGTTACATTTGTTTAAAGATGCATGATTGCGTCAAAGTATGCAGACGTATCTGAATGTAAAATGGACTCGAGACCTAGCACAGGTAAACTGCAATTGCATTTGCTTGCATTATTTTCCACCGGGATATTTATGTCTTCGTGGATATGGACTAGCTCAACTGTTGACACATGGTGCAGATTTCTAAGAAGGTAAATTTTAATACATATGCTAGATGTTTACTGTGTTAACTTGTCATTTTTGTCATCAATGCTATTCTGAGTAGCATATATTTTCTCTTCGTTTGCAGGATTTTCAATCGCGAGTCTGAGGAACCTCCTATAAGACTGAGTAAGCACAAGCTTATCGCGCATTTATTTGCGAATCGGAAGACATTTAATAAGGCCGGTCGTTTATCAATAAGTTTTCACAACACTCATGCGGATCCAGTTGGATTGAATTTCGACCTTAATTCGGCGTCACAAGACTTTAGCAGCACTTGGGCAGCCGCTTTACCTAAATTAGTAACGCGAAGGGGTGCACTAGTTGGCACTACAGGATCTGTATCTAGTAATAGACGCAACTCGGCTGATTCCGAGATCAGTTATAGTTACCAATGTGTCTCTATGGAATCCAGACGAAATTCTCTGGACTCGCAGATATCCGTACAAATTGCACAAGTGAAGACAACACGAAAGGTTGCAAGCCGATCGCGCGGTCGTCGTGGGAAAAGCAGAAGAGACTTCGGGAAATCCCGATCAGTAAAAATTGATCCGCTGTCTAGGAGAGGCAGCACCACTTCTCAAGACAGTCAACTAATAACTCAAATTCCAATTCAAATGCCCAATATGGGTAGAAGACTCGGGAATGCTGGACTGGATGAGCGAGCCTTGAAAATTATCGACACTAAAAACACGGGCATGCTTTTGCCTTTTTTGTTAAGAGGGCAGAGTGGCAGTGACGAAAATTTAAGCAGTGAGGAGAAAAGGCAAGATATGGCTGATAAAGACGTCGACATAGAAGCAGGCAACATAGAGAAGGAAGATGAACAAGACAGCGATAGTGAAGATAGTCAATCGGAGGATGAAGTTAAAATGTTAGATCCGGAAAATGCGCATGAGCGTAGTAAAAATAAAGAACGTAGCAATAAGAACTGTAAAACTTACAATCATGAAAATGATAGAAGAAGTCGCGAAAGTCATAGGAGCAAATACGTTTTACAAGACGAAGCTATCTTGAAACATTTACTTCAGGAGGCTAGTGATATTAAAGTGAAAAATGAAAATGAGAAGAAAGAGGCGTATAGGAAAGCTGTGATGAGCAATTTGGATTCTAGTCTCACCTCGTGTTATCCAGAGTTAACAAGATTGTTGCAAGGCGATGGACAGACTAACGCTAGAGAGATGGCGACGCAGACTTCGCTGCCGCTCGATATATTGGAGATGGAAGAGTTAAAACAAAGTATCGATGAGATAATTAACAGCAGGCATTGTAGCTCTAAGGGAACTCAAATATCACCACAATTGAAAAAAAGTAAGAATATCACGACGTAAGACTGAGAACTTTTTTGTTCTTATATAAATATATTGAGAAATGCATGGAATAAGAAATTACGTGCTATATAGATATATTTTATCGAAATACTAAGGACCATTGATCAATATCGTTCCTTTTTTTACTACTTTTATTATATTTTCTAAACAAAAAATGAGATCAACTAGTGATTTTTACTATTTTTGACGTTATAAACGATATGCAGTAATGAAATGATAATCCAATAAAATTGGATTAAATAATATCGTTTGAGAAGATATATAAGGATAATAATAGATATAAATATTTTTGTATATTTTATTATTATTATTGCTAAAATAGTAATCAAATCTTAAAGTATCCATAACTGACAACTCGCATCGAGTGCTAGGTAATTAATTTTTAATTTATGATGATATTAGGATTTTTTATCCTAATATATATCACGTTGTATATATTTTCCCGCAAAAGGATACTATTATATTTCTAATATTGTATGTCTTCCAGTGTTCTGTAAAAATGTATCACGTACACGTACGAACATTTTTTTATAACAATAAGATTATTTGTGTGTATGTGTGTGTGTGTGTGTGTGTGTGGGGCGCGCGCGCAAGTATGTTTATACATTTATTTTTTTGCAAGTGCCTAAATAAAATGCGTTTTATAATTTTCTACATTACTGATTTATAAATTATTGGCTATTTGAAAAGAAAAAAAGATTCATTTATTTATTTAATATAATTGTGATTTGAATCACATTCATAGAATGTAGATCTATGAACATTTTTCATTTTAATAAACATTTTAATAAATAATTTACTTTTTAAATAATAGCCATATTTTATAATTGCAGGAAAGTAGATCAGATTGCTTTTATATGTGTGTGTGTTGTGTGTGTGTGTGTGTGTGTGTGTGTGTGTGTGTGTGTGTGTGTGTGTGTTATTAGGTGCAATAAAAACAAATCCATTATTTTTCCATTCAATTTCATGCAAAAATAATGGATTTCTTTTACTACACCTAATATACATACATACATACATACATACATACATACATACATACATACATACATACATACATACATACATACATACATACATACATACATACATACATACATACATACATACATACATACATACATATACACATACACATATATATATATAAACTGATACAAAACTGTAAAGCGTACTTTGTCGAATATTTTCTACTGTTTTAGAAAATGTCTATTGAGAAGTACTGTCTCTTGAAATTATAATGTCTTTTTGTATCATTGCATTTTACATTTTGTAATAATTATTAATATATTTATGTAGTATTCTACGTATTGCATTTTTTCGTATTTGTTATATTAATCTAATTATGATATTTTCTCTTAATATTTTTAAATGTTTCTAAAATTTTACTATTACAATATGTACGCGAAATATGAAAAGTATTACTTTCTTTCTTAACATGTTAAAGTTCTGATTACATGTAAGACATTTTTTTTTGGTTTTTCCAAGAAAAATTAAAAATGAAATTATTATCATTTATATTTTTTATGTAGCGTATCCGAACCATTGACGAGACACATTCTGTAAACAATACATAATTCTTTTTGATGCCGCATGTTCAAATTTAAACTATTCTGACAGGAAATAGATGCCATTTCTATCCATTAAACATATTTAATAAAACATATTTAATAAAACTTCTAGGAAAATAAGTATGTTGCAATCAATTCTAGGCCATTACATTATTTGCCGAATTAAACTATACTCAATAATGTTACATGGATAATCATATATTTTCGTCGAAGTTAAAATCTTCTTTCCGTAAACGTACTAGATTTCGCCAAGGCACTTCTCTCACTTGTAGCAAGAAAATGTCCTCAGCAACGTTATCCCCGGATGATCGGTATATTACGATCGATACATTTAAGATTTCCTCTCGTCCATCCGTCGTTTCTACGTTTTCAAATCTGGCTCCACGCTCTTCGTTACCGCTACGTATTTTTTTCCTACACTCGATCACACAAATATATCTGGACTTTAGTTCGGGCAAATTGTCACGTACGCTACATTGTACATTATATGCATATATATTACATACGTATTCTATGTGCACTGTATTATAATGACTTTATTGATAAAAACAATAATAAGTTGTTCGCTACGAAAGTACAAAAATAAGTATTATTGTGGGCGGGGAGGAAGGAGGGATTTATATGAGGTACGCATCGTTTTATTCGGCTCTCGGCGCGTAACAGGGAAAAGAAAATGAGAGAAATAAACGCTATTATACCCACGGATTAGTCTCCCTTGGTCCGTGATTTCATGGAAATGTGTTGCACCTTACATGCTGCTCCTGCTCACTCGTGTTATCTCCATTGCGCCGGGTTAACGATCGCGCGAGCCTCATTGTTATACCCTAAACTGCGCCTCGCATGCACATACACTAATATTCTAAATGACATTTACATCTGACAAATAATATATCGTGCATGCTGCAACGGAGGATACGTGTAGAAAATATCCATTTTTGTTTATTCACCAACACCGCAGGCGGCAGGCAGATGTGGTTTTTATCACCCGTTAGAAACGCTTGGACGAGGCTACTTGGATTTAGCATGAGATTTTTTATGCTTTGTGTATTCGTTACCCCAGATGATGTTGTTCAGAGTCTCTCCAACGAAGTATAGGATTATGCAGAACGTCAGCAGCACGGCAAAGAACACAATCCGTAGTGGCAGCGTCAGCACGTCCATCACGGGGTACACCCAGACGCCGCTTTTATAGTAGATTACATGTATCCTGAAATTGTAAGTTAATATCATATCTATTCTATGCACTTGATGAACAAATGAAGCATTTAGTTTCTTTCTTCTTCGCGTCTTTATATAATGAAAAAAATTCTCATAATATCTCATTTTTAAGAAAATTTATGTGAGACTCTAAACAAACATATTTTGCACTTTTTTAGATTTTATAAGTTTTCTTCAAAAATTATGGAATGAGAAATTATAGAATATTTTTAATATTTTTAGAATTCACATTTATGAAAAATACTAGAAAAGATGAGAAATTTTCTCTCAGCACTTCTGGAAAGTGTTTCAATTCGTAAAAAAAATTCAAAAAAATTTCTAAAAAGTTATAAATATATAATATAAAATTACAAAAATTTTGAAAAATTATTTGAAGAATTCTAAGAAAAAATTTTCACCACAATTTTCTTATAAAATAATTAAAACTTTCACATTTAAATCGCTGTATTGATATTGATTTCCGTAATGCGTTATTATATTACAACTAAAAAAAGCGGATACTCGTAAATTCGTTTCACTTACCAGACTAAGTACGTGAGCATAAAGCTAACGAGTATTCCGAGGTTGCGAGATCGCTTAGGATATTGCCGTGGCACGAATATCATTTCTAACATTGTCGTCACCATGATCATTGTATGCATTGTATGATTCAACCACCACGGGAAGTACGGATCCAGTGCTTTCGGCAATACCAGTTCACGATCCACGAACATTAACACCCAGAAAGTCACGCCGACGAACTGCAAAACAATGACATTACATTCAACATTTATTATTAAAAACAATATTCCTGCAAATAGAAAAATATATAAGATCTGGCATACATATAGCAAAAAGCTTATTCATTCACAATTCTTTCCACGCATAATTAGTAATAGTTGTATGAAAACTGAGAATATAAAATATTCTCTTCTTGAAAAAATATCACTTACATTTCAAATATTTTAAATATTATTTTAAACATTTTAAATTAATGCAGTTATTTAATTTTAAAAAAATGTAAATACATAGAATTTTTTAAATTAGATCCTTGTATCTTTCATGAAGGATTGATCAATAAATAAGATGAATAAGATCAAAATTATATCAGATTCTTATTCAAAATTAGGAGAAAAAAATAAAAATTGCAATATTTATAAATTTCAATTTTTCCATAATCGCTGTAAGCATTAAAATGTTTATTTCATTTCATAACTATAAACATTTTTTTCTTTCCAACATTTATAAAATTCTTTCCAAGAATTTATATCTTCTCGAATTGTTTTTCTGGTAAGTTCTAAAATAAGATCTAGCAAAGAAATGAAAATTTTATGAAGTTAGTCATATCGGGAAATGTGCGATGCTCAGTATTTTAATGTTGAGAATATAAAGAACTAATTTATATTACACAGTTTTCATTGTATTTCTTCCTGAATTTTTAAAATAAAAAGTTCTATATCATAAATAATATTAAACAAAAAGTTTCTCACATACATGTAAACAATAGTCCATATCTTATTTCATATAATATTAGGCAATCTTCATATATTTAAGTAATGTTTCTCGTTTAAATGCATTGCGTTCGTGCTTTTACGCAACATAATTCATGAAATAAAATTAGACAACATGTATTTAAAAGAAAAAATTCACTTTTAATACATGATATGTTAAAAAATAAGTTTGTATGTTAATATATGAATTGCGAAACAATATATTATACAAGGTATCTATTATGGAACGAAAGTTGGAATGAATTATTCTCCGAATTATTCTGGTTTCTCTAAAAAATATCTATAAAAAGGGAATAATTGAATAATTCCGATCGGAATCTATTCTGAATAATACTATTGTATGTAAATGAATATTTCGATAATACGTATCAGTCAAAGCGAAATCGATTTTTCTTTTATTATTTATTTGGTATTTCGAGAATGATGTTTTTTTTATTTCCCTCATCGGAGAATTAAACTCGTAAGGTTTCATATCTAAACTATTGACTTTTTCCATTCTCAATTTGATGTGTTTGCAATAATATAAAAAAAAATTAATTATATTACTCACCATAGCAACCGGAAACCCGAGACTCGCATAGAAGTAATCTTTCAACTTCCGCGTGAAAGATGACTTCTTGGGGTTTATAGCATTTGTGCCGAATAAATCATTTAGAAAACATATCAAGAAGAACATCGTTTGCAGAATCTAGAACACAAGTGACATTTCAAAATGCTTTAA